GTATGCAGAGTTTTTATTTAGGCTATAACACTTGTTTGCAGCGTTGAGCAATGCAGTGCTGAAATGTGTGTGCTCATGAATCCTCTCATTATAACACACGAATTGTAGACATTATGAAAGATTCATTATGCATCTATTTATTGAGTTATAACAGAGATTCCTGAGATTGCGATGAACTGAGATGTCTTTTAGAGATTATAAATGCAGCGCTCTTTGCTGGCATTCTGCCATGCCAAACCATGTACGCAGCAGCCGCTTGCTTTAGTTAAAAATAACAGTGTTCTGTGAATGTTGATGCTTTAATAACAAATATTTATCGGGAGCGTGTATGCTGAGATTTCATAAATTTCATGGAGAAAAAAGTAACGTAACTAGTAATGTAACTAATTACTAATTACTTTTGAAATAAAGTAATCAGAACAGTAACGTGATTACTTTTAAAAGGAGTAATCAGTAATCAGTAATTTGATTACATTTTCAGAGTAACTTGCCCAACACTGGTCAGTAGAGAAGAGATACAAAGCGAAGCAACAAATAACAAACAGCTCAGTGCAACGCCAATGAAAAAGAGTGCTTCACTTTTAAGTTGAAGACTAATTTAAAGACTAATTCAAGTTTTCAAAAAAACTCACCAATGCATAAGGAAAAATAAGGACCTGGTTTGAAGAGATTTAGTGTGAAAGATTATTTGCATCTGGTGTACAGATCCTAAACTCTGTAGCCAAAGCCAATTACATTTTCATTTCTATCAAAAAAAAAAAAGAAAAAAAGAAAAAGAAAAAAAACATCAAATCTTTCACTTTGTCTACGTAAAATTCTCAACTTCATTTAAATTTTCCTCATAAGAGTACTAATAACACTTCCTTTAATCAAGGCGTGTGTTTGATTAAAAAAACTAAAAAGGCCCCACGAAATGAGACCCGCAAGCAGAGATGCTATGGCGCAGATAGCCTACAGCAAGGCTGTGGGCCCGTTACACCGTCCTATCCAGCAGGCTGCTGAAGGTGCCCGCAAATAGAGAGCCGTGGTTAACCAGCTCCCTCACAGTGTCCGCCACGGTCTGTCACCATGGACACAGCCATCCTTCGTACAACATCTGTCAACCATCCTGCTAATAAAAAACAAACTTTATATGCCAATGGAAATTTCTTTGAGGTGCCTGACACGGACACCAAAAGCAGAGGGGGAAATTAATTAAAGTACCACTGTGACACGAAAGTGGTAAGATGAATAAAGAAGAACACTGGGGTGTGGGTGTGTATAAGCTCGGTCTGAATGCTCTGATCTAATTGGGCAGGCTCCAGTGCGGTTCGGCGCATGTCGAGCCTTTGTGATTTGTTAAAGTAAATAAGCAGGAAAACAAGACAAATTTTTTATTCCGACAGTCAATGCCAGAATATTTGCTCGCGGTTAGTCAGTGTTCACCTGCTATTTGGAACAAGCCGTAAATGACCGGGTTCTCAACTTTTGGCTTGTTTCTTTGAAGGCAGATTTGCTCAAACCAAAGCCAACCAGACTCTCCGAGGTCTGAAATATGGTGCCAAGAAGTCCCATTTAAATCTCTTCATCTATACTTTGAAATGCATCATGCGGAGACAAACTTCACCACCTAAAAACAAGGCTGTTATTATCATCTCGGATGTGAAAGTGTGCAGGTTAGGCACAATTACTCAGGAAGAGCTTGTTATTGGGCACCAGTATTCTTTTGTCACACGTGAAAAGAAGAGGTTACAGGCGGCTCGAGTGATGGTGAGGGATTGCAGGCCGTTTCATGTGGGCCGAGGGGGCTTGGCGAGTCTTGCAGCTGGGATCATACTAGTACAGCTTTGGGATTAGTCGAAAATGGAACCCAGATGAAAGCATGGACGCCTGTTCAATTGCAAAGACTCAGTGCGCAGAACATTTACCTCCAGATTCTCATTGAAGCTGATGGGAAGCGATTGCTAACATCACAGAGACTGGGCTAAAATAAGAGCTGCATTCTAAGTGGCAGCGGCTTCCTGCAGATTTGAACTGTCGGGAACAGGCACTGGTCACGTTGCTTTAGTTTGTCCTTCAAACAGATGAACAGTGCCTGCCTTCTTTCCGATGCCAGAGAAAAATAGGATGAGAAATGTATACATCACTAGAATACACAAGGCACATACACATTTACAAATCACACACCTGAAGCAGTAGCTAATTTTCTTCAGCTCTATTAACCTTTCAAGTTATTTCAGCATTTAAAAATCTGACCAGGCATCCCAAAAACGAGTGATGTTAAGAATTCTTCACAGATAATAAATGTATGATGGAACATAAAGCATTCGTTTGGTAAGCAGAGGATGAATGCGAATTCCCTCAGAAGTCAAGCACAAAAAGCTGCCTGTCCTGACGACGTCTCCTAAGGCAGAGACAGAGAAATGTGCTTTCAATTATGTCCCGGTGGAAGCAGGGAAGCAGAACAAGAAATGCACTCGATTTATGTACTGCTCCGATTCTGCTCAGCGTGTTCTTACTGAACATTCAGAAAGTATTTAATATTTCCCGTAATGTTAGCAGTCAAACAGAGACAGGACTATTAGCCTCTTGGGGGTCTGGATCCCTCCATTTGATCTGAATGGTAGCGTGATGCTGAGAACTGGAGAACAACAACAACAAAGAACAAAACCCCTAATGAACTCCATGCTCCTGCAATTTCTGGTCTAAGCTTTGACTGTGTACAAAATCAGAGAGATGAGGTGAAGGAAAAACAAAGTTGGATTAGTTAGTTTTCGGCACACTGCAATGTACGAGCTGGGATCTGTGCTCAAAACAGGCCTGACTGACAGACAGACAGACAGACGAGTGTCCTTCATGTGATGCTGGAGTATTCTGAAGCTCATACCAATGTGCAATGTTGTCTTTACAAAGCTGTCTGCTGCCACTGCTGAGTGAAACAATGTGAAATAACATGGAACTGAAAAGTACAAGCTCACGCTCTCAATTTAAATTGTCCATACACTGTATTCCAAAAAAGTCACTAAAGAAAGTTGAAAAACATGGTAGTAATCAGACATGGTAGTAATTATCATAGTGCTAAAAATAATTAATCACTGTGAATTTGTTGCATTCAACATTCAATCTGAGAAAATTTTGATTATAATTACAGCCATAAATAACATGTGGGCAGTTTGAAGAAACTACATTTAAACTGTGAAATGCATTGTGTGAGTGTATATAAAAAAAGGACCAAAAAAGTTACTTACAACTACAGAAGGATTGTTCCACTCTTCGTAGGTATGAGCTGCATAGGGGTAGATGCGATCGTTAATGATCTGGAGAGTTGTCATGCCAATAGCCTTCATGGAGCTGAAGTAGGCTTCCCAGAACCAGCGGGCCTAGGGAACAATAAACAGCATGACTTTCAAATACTTGTGAAAAAAGCAGCAAAGCACACAGACTGATGTGCAGCCATTAATCCAGAAATGTATAAGCACACAAAAAGCATGTGAAACATACAAACCAAAGGCATAAGATAAGGCCTCTCACATCCCTCAACTCCCACCATCCTGCTCGTGCCTTTATGACCCCGACACACTTTCAAAGGCAAAACAGCCCATTAAAGACTGGTGACATGACTACAGGGACCATTCCAGACGGTTATGAGCCCTTTAGACTATCAGTCTTTTAACTTTTCCACTCAAGTGGCACTGAGACTGCAGCTAAAGTTTAAGGGCAGAGGTCAGGTCATTCTACTGTTGCAATGTAACCACACTTTTGCCATGTTGCTTGAATGCTGTTATAATGCTGATTAATTAAGGGGAAAAAACATAGTAGCATTGTACACATTTCAGAACTACCATTCAAAAAGTTTGGGGTCAGTACAATTTTTTATTTTTTTTTTATTTTTTACAATTTAATAAAAAAAATACTTAATATTTATTTAAGCATGGATTAATTAAATTGATCAAACGTAAAGAACAGTAAGACAGTAAAGAATTCTACATTGACAAAAAATTCAGCTTTGCCATTACAAGAACAAACTAAGCTTAAAAATATATTATCATTAAATAATTTCTATGAATTATTTTATATTTCTATGAAGTTATTTTCAATTGTAATAATATTAACAATATTCATGTTTTTACTGTATTTTTAATCAAATAAATGCAGCCTTGGTGAGCATAAGAGACTTCTTTCAAAAAGTCAAAAAAAAAAAAAAATTCTTACTGACCCCAAACTTTTGAAGTGGACTGCATATATTAACTACAATGAGAAATTATTTTATAATACCATTAGAGAGAAAAAAGCCAATACCTTTAATAGTTACTACCAAATTTTGGTGTCTGACCTATATTCAACTTGACTTTAAGCTTTAACAATTAATCCATGAGGGTTTAAAAAAAGGGAGAAAAAAAATATATCACCAACCACCAATACTGCAAAAACAAAAAAAAAAAAAAAAAAACGCCTTTCATTATTTACCATATAAGAAGGAAAAACAATCTATACATAATCTGTCAATACAAGAACACACACACTTTTCCCTCCACTGCAGATCCATTAACAAACCCAAAGCTCCAACAGTGAGGGGCGAGGAGCACATTAGAGTTAATTACCCATAAAACAGTGCTATCTTCTGCTAGGAGGCGCCATGCCGCAGTGACCCAGCTCCACCCTTCCTGGTCCTGTTTGACCCTGATCTCTTTAACAGGGTTGACCAAGTGCATGCTAGAGGCAGCCTCATTACCTGGCCTGACCGCAAACAGTGTAAGATTAGGTCTAACTACAAAGAGTCAAATGAGACCAGGGTAAATATAAAAAACAAGAATAATGGCGTTTCAACATTTTCCTGGGCCAATTATTGAACAACATCAGAGAGTGCTAATGGCCTTTCTTTTAAAAACAACAATTAAAAATAATTTATTGTGTCATTTGGTGAAATAGAGGTTTGTGCAACACATTAAAAAAAGAGAATCCTCTGACCATTTCAGTTACTCTCAAGTGAACTGAACTCAGCACAGCAAGGTTTTTTTTTTTGCTTGCGAGTCTTTTGCAGCACATCTTTTCATTGGCTGCTGTGTTTGTTGCCATATACCCAACCCAGAACTCAGTTCAGCACATTAGAGCGCAGTCGCCCCCCTTCCACCGGCCCCCAAGGGCCTGGCCCTTAAACCTTAAAGAAATACAACTACACAAAAACAGCTTTTCTTTTTATGGAGAGGGGAAGAGGATTCAAAAAGACTTTCTGATCCCAAGGGGAGCACAGCCGCCCATAAATCAGCTTGTGATGAAAGTTTCCTTCCTACAAGAAGGCAGAGAGAAAACCGCACCCACCAAGAGCTGAACCCGCCCCATTTGAACGCTTGCAAGAATTTTTATGAGGAGGGAAGAGACTGAGTCTCGTAAGAGGACGTTGGCTGCTCTTCTGACACATTTAAGGTTGTTCATGTGTTAAACTCTTGAACATACAATAATCATCCCTTTATCTTATAGGACACGGTTGCTATAATAACTGCGGATGGGAATCATAAAGAATTAAATGGTTCCAAATCATCTTAATGATTCTGGTTCCATAAATGGTTCCTTTAGTTCTTTTGAGGAAGAAATATTTAGAAAAAAGCAATGCAAGTTATTGCAAAATGATGACATAACTTCAATAATAAATACTATAAAAACAAAACCACCTCATCTGAGTCATTCGTTAAGGAATAGGTTGGACTTGGCACAGATTGCACTGTATGGTTGAGATTCACCAAAAAGAAAGAGCTCACAAAATTGATTAGTTCTGGAAAATGTTGGATAACACAGCTTGTGCATCATTGTTTTTTTGACTCACTAAAAAGAACAGATTCATAAGAGTTATTTGTTATGAAGAATCGGTTGGGCTACACTGGTTGACGTGCATGGTTTTGATTCACTAAAAAGAACCAGCTCCTAAGAGTCATTTGATGTGGGAATCTGACTATACTTGTCCCGCTGTAAATTTTTTCAGTATATTTGTCCTAAATAACTGCTAATATAACAAATAACATCAATCTATGTGCTGACAATACTAAATGACCACTAGGCAAAAATACTGAGCACTGTCATGAGTAAATCATGCAAGCCAACTCGTCAGCAACATCCATGCGGTTGATCCATGCATTGCTATCACTCTTCAATCCGTAGAGAGGGCACAACCAATTCAATTCAGCAACAGGACATGAGACGATTTGATGAAATGTCAGAAACAGCTACTTCCTAAGGCTGAAAGACTTGGCAATCACACCATGAAGTTTCAGTAGTTGGCTGCTCCCTCTATTGGTCAAAATGCAGAGAAAATCCACTTCACCTATTCCTCACAACTGTCTGTAATACTTCTGCCTCCTATTATTTGCAGCATCTGCATTTTATGCAGTCCTACACTGAAAGTTCAAGAGGGTTGTCTTCTGGCAAGATCAAGAACAAAGTAGTAGGATTTTTTGTAAAATCCAAGTAAGGTATATATATCTAGAAGCAGTTCTTTTGTACAATAGCAACCATACAATCACTCTGCTGTCTGGAGGTGGTATAGGCTAGTAAGAAAGGAGTGGATCAAGATGTGTTCAAGTGTGGGCTGATATCTCAATGGCTTCATGCCATGCCATAATTCCAGCTCAAGATGTGTTTTTGCACACTACGTTCTAACACCACCCAGAAACCTGTGGAACTAAACTACAACATTCTCCTCACACAAAATATTCAACATCGAGCTGAAGAACTTGAGACTGTTCAAGAAGCCAATGCCAATGGAAGCAGAATGCAATTATTATTAATTATGGCTATCGTATAGTATTCTACATGGCAATATACTGACCATAATTATTACAGAGTGAAATCAAAAGATCTCTTTACATGCATTCCATGTGGTTTAGCTGCTTTAACATAAGTGTACAGCTGAAAAAGCTGAAGGGGAAAAAATTTAAGCGAAAGTGTGCGGTTAACAATTTGTTTGGATAAAGATACATCACTAATACTTAAAATTATCTTTCATCATGATTTACTATGGCGGGAGAAATTTCATATTTAGAGAATCAAAAGTACACACTTGCAGGAATATTGTTTTTGGCATTATCTCATCTGTCTAATGGTTATTTTCATAGCGGAGCTAGTACTCCATTGAAAGGAAGAAAGAATGTTAGTGGAGAAGAATAGAGGTTGTGACTTCTTTAACCTTGCCTTCACCCTGTATTAAACCTAATAAGACTGCACACTTTTAGTCTGAATGTGACTCTTTTGAACTCAGTTTCCATCAGTTTCGACAGCATTTGGTACTGTTTACTAACTGTCACAAAAGGCTCAGGTTTGTTGGACTGCTTTTCCACAAATAGCTCCAAGTGTATTTGTAATTCTGTTCAAACTTTCACAAAAAAGGATAGCGTGAACTGTACAAAATAAATTGCCTTCACATTAATTTTTAGTCCTTGGGCTGACCCAAGAAGTGAAAATGACCTATCAACCACCATGATGGACAGATGCTGCTAATTTTTTACTGTCACAGCAAAAGTGCAAACACATTCTTACCTGTCTCTGCATCTCCTCCACCTGTCTGTGAGGGATGCTCTTCAAAATAGTGTACATCTCTGGCAGCTTCTCTTCTGGAATGACAACAGACGCCCTGCAAGTACACACACACAAATGACTATTCAATGCACTTGATTTTCAAACGACCTAGTTAATCCAGCAACATTGATAATTGTGACAAAATCAGCATATTAAAATGATTTATGAAGGATCATGTGCCACTGAAGACTGGATTAATGGCTGCTGAAAATTCAGCTTTGCCATCACAGAAAGAAATTACATTTAAAACAATATTTCATTTCATAAGTGAAAAACAGTTGATAAATTGTAATATTTCACAATATTACTGTTTTTACTATATTTTTACTGCATTTATACGGTCTTTACTGTATATTTTAAATAAACTGGCAGCCTTGATGAGCATATGAAACTTTTACATTTAAAAAAAAATTGACCACAAACTTTTGACCCCAAATTATGATATTGTATGTTAAAACTTCAAATACATTTAAAAATATATTTATATGATCATTTTGATTAATGAGGTCATTTTTATTTCAAAATTCTCATGAACTACTGATTTTCTTATTATTCAGGGTTAGTTCATGACTTTCTGAAGTTATAATAAAGTGTTCAATATGATTTTTCTTTATTAGATATTCATAAGGTCAGGTACCATATTAACTTTATTCATGAACACTGGTGACTGACACAACAACAGATTTTTGACCTTTACCTTTTCCAGTCCAGCACTTCAGAGAAAGGCAGAATGTAAGAATCAGCCATAATGACAGGGACACATCCAGCCTGCAGCACGTCACTAAGCGTGGCTTGGCCGAGCCGGGCCCCTCGCAGAACAACACAGAATGATGACTCCTACAGAACACACAGGGGACACATTTGTCATCTGTAATAACGATACACTCTCAGACCTCTTGTAACAAACAGCAGTGCGATCTAGGTGTGCGGTGTGAATGAAGGGGTTGCAATGAAAGGTGCTAGGATCAGAGTCTAGAGGGGCTTTGTGTTGAAAAGGGGGTGATGGCTCTCACAGGGATTTGGCCTCCGCTCCTCCTCACTGTGGAACGTCTCCCAGATGTGCTGCAGCACCCAACCCAGATGATAAGCATACTTCCTGTCTAGACAGGCCTGGACGGGAGATGAGCATGGTGGACAGGAACAGCATTTGTTTCTTTTGCTTACACCGATGGAGGAATGTGTTGTGGTGGTAAAGAATGCTTATGGATGGGTAGAACATGTAAAGTCTCTAGGAACATTTGGGCCAAGCTCTCAAAGGCAAGATGGGCTTAATTTACACAAAGATGTAATGTTTTGTCTATAGTAAAAAATTTAATCCGAATAGTCCAATTAGTCCAATATTGATAATGTAAGCAATAAAAAAAAAATAAAATAAAAATTATATATATCTATCTATATATATATTAGGGGTGTAACGGTTCACAAAATTCATGGTTCGGTTTGATACGATACAGCAAAAAGAAAGAAATGCCAGAGAAATTTCCTTGATTTTTACAATTTTTATATTTATTAAAACTAATTTTTTACTTTGAACAATGATGGAGCTATACTTGACCCATCTTCTGGGGTGTCTTCTTAGCAGCATATAAAACAAAAAGCTCCGGTTTTAAGTATTCCAGCTGATGTAGCCTATTGTCATGTAGCAGATTAATCTTTTCCAATAAGTTTAAATAGATTTTTATGGGCATTTTTTTACCTTTATAAAGCCTTTTTTTTTCTAAAAGTGTGCATCACCTTTTGAGTCGATTTTTTACATTTAATCAGTCAATAAGACATTTGGGCTGTTACCAAGCAAATGGAGTCAGTATTGACAAAATTCATCTTTGCAATGCAGAGGAAACATAGAAGTTGCATCTGAATGGCATTTAGATGCTTTTACACACTGTTTAATGCAGCTCAGAGAGACATGTAATGCTTTAACCTGCAGTTACAAATGCATAAATAATGTTTGATATTTTAAACATAAAACGTTGGCAACTGATGTTTGAAATTATTTTAAAAATTAAAAGATACTTTAAAAGGGTCATATGATGCGATTTCAATTTTTCCTTTCTCTTTGGGGTGTTACAAGCTCTTGGTGCATAAAGAAGATCTGTAAAGTTGCAAAGACTAAAGTCTCAAATCCAAAGAGATATTCTTTATAAAAGTTAAGAGTCAGCCACGCCTACCTAAAACGGCTCGTTCTAACACGCCCCCCACATACCTACGTCACTATCTGGGAAGATTTGCATAACGCCGCCCAAATGTTCACGCAAAGAAAGAAGGCGTAACTTTTATTCTCGCTGTAGTATTGTTGCCGCCGCCGCCATGTCGTGAAGGCGCTGTGTGCTTCGTTGTGAAAGCTTTTGAAACTACTTTGTTTGGCCTTCCAAAAGAGGGAGGAAATACAACTTCACGCTGTGGATCGCCGGATCGGCTTTCACCGTGGACGAAGCGGAGTCCAGCCCGGGGTCGTCACATGTGGTTGCCGCAGGCATCACAATATGGTAAGGGACGCAACATTTCCGTCACACGCTTGAGGAATTCGGCAAATCACAACGCACTGGATAGCTGGCCAATCACAGCACACCTCGCTTTTCAGACCGATGAGCTTTGTAAAAATCGACGCGTTTCAAAAAGGCGGGGCATAGAGGAGAAACAATAATGTACAGTATGTGGAAAATAATGTGTTTTTTGAACCTTAAACCGCATAAACACATTTCATTACACCAAATACACAAAATAATGTTCTTTTTAGCAGCATCATATGACCCCTTTAAATGTGAAATTAAAACCTCCAGTAGGTGGCAGCAAGTCACTGTTAACAAGTGAGTCATTGCGATTGAACCGAATCATTTAAACGGGTGATTCATTCAGGAACGAAACACCATCATGTTGCTCAGAGATGCAAAATAGTGCTGTGGCTGTGTTTGGATTTATTTTTGTTGGCAAAATTGAGCAAAAACAGGCAATATGCTGTCTAAAACGTAAGTCTATTAATTAATTTCTTGCTTATTGAACTGTTGTAAAAATCACTTGTAATCATGCTGATTTTTGGAGAGAAAAAAAACGGCACTCTTCTGTGCTTTGAATAACTATATGAAATTATGTAAATATATACATTTTCTGCCCCCATATCTTGAATTTTGTGATCATTCTAAATTATTTTTAATAGACTGAATCATACAGTGAAAGAGCGCACTCTCTGAGCGCACTCACACTAGTCTAACCTAATAGGATAATATGCTGTAATAGGATTAGTCCAACAAATCGTTCGGTTTGTAATGCGTACTGAACCGAAAGCCTCATACCGAAAGGTTCAATACGAATACGTGTATCGTTACACCCCTAAAATATATATATTAGGGGTGTAACGGTACACGTATTCGTACCGAACCGTTTCGGTACGGGTCTTTCGGTTCGGTACGCATGTGTACCGCACGAATACATTTTTTTTTTTTTCCTTCTCAGGAAATTCAAATAATAAATGGCGTTTTGACCGTCTTTTATGTGGCATGACAGATCGCTGTATAAACGCCTTAGAGAGCCGCTTCTGGGACGTATATATATATATATATAAATTAGGGCTGACGTTTCTATGCGTTAATTTGGTTTGATTAATTATGGAAAACACAACATGTTAAAATGATAAATGCATTTAACGCAAACCGCCACAACCCAGATCTGTACGTTATCTTACATTGCATGCAGTTGTTTAGTGGCAAACATGATGCAGGGTAACAACTGTATGATGTAGTCTAGAAAAGTTATATACCCCAAAATGTGATATTATGTAAATATATTTATATAATTACATATCATGTAATTAATTTAATTAAAAGCTTGACAGCCCTAAAAAACAACATATACAAAAATTATATAAAAAATTTTATATGATATATTTAAAGTCATTGTACATACTATTTCTAATATATTTTTAAAATAAATTTAGGAGCTAAGTGATTCTAATATTGGCAACATTTAAAATATGTTTTAATATGTTTACTATGTGAAATTCCACGTGAATTCAATGTCGTTTAATAAGAATGGATGTGTGGAGAATCCAACCTGTAAGATTTGTGGGTAGTCGTAGACCTGTCCTTTATAGCAGCGCTTTCTGACCGATGCCAAACCCTGAGAGAGATTACTGCATTTATCTAGGAGGAGTAGGGCCTCCCCATTCTCCTCCTTCAGCCTCTCCAGTTCCACACGGTATTCCCGATGGATGGCCGTCTGAGATGACAGAATGAAGTAGCGTCGGGGCCTGAAGTAAACACACATTATGTGATGCCATTTTTCGTCATTAAATATAAACTGGTTAATCAATGTCGATAAGCAAGATCTCACCCTGGCTGCCTCTCAGGAAGGTCCACCTCAGCAGATAAAGGGCTATACACGGGGATGCTGACATCATAACCCTGCCTGTATGTCCATGTGGAGAAGCCTCCCCCAGCCAGCAGGGCTCTGTGAAACAAACGCAATGAAGATGACAACTCTGTCGCCGCGAATGTCTGCAAAATGCGCTGAAGATAAAACACGTCCTTTATCTGGTTTTACATGACAAATGTGTGAACATGCCACGCCGAAGAATTTAACAGAGTTGCCTTCGCGTCCTCGTTCTACGAGTCAATAAAACTTCAAACGGTGCTTGGTTTGAGGGAATGGAGTGAGTATAGGGGAAAGCTGCAAATATGGCCACGCAACATACACTGTCTTTTTATCTCACCCTACACATATGGGCAGCTGGTTCTGATGAGGCTGTGCGCCAAATGGAGCACAGCTGGATGAGCCCAGGAAATTCCCTACAGCTCCAGATAAATGCTCATCATTTCAGGGCTTTCTAGTACATAAAACTCACCTTTTCCACCCAAAGCAAAAGATCGGCCAAGTAATAGGCTGAGAAACATGGACCATGTTGCAGTAAATACCAGGAGATTATGTTTGTCTGCCTGCTCTAGGCGGTAGTGTGCTATTCTCTTTCATGATCACTCTCACTGCATCTTTGATCTCTGGGTCTAAGGAACACACTAGGATGATGATGATAATCCACATTAGGAAATTTAATTGAAAAGAAAAAACAAGTTGACATCCGAATAGGACAGTTCTGTGACACTGATACGTATGAATATTTTTTTGGGGATGGATGTCTATTTTAATTATATATTGCAAGCATTCCAGTTTCTCTCAATACAAGGGTGTTGAAACACCAAGAAGATCCTTAAATCCAGCATGGATATCTTGAAGAGTCTGGCATCAGTCTGTCAGCACTGTGGTTCAATGTCATTGTGGACAACCATGAAGTGTCAATTCAGTCACACTAACCTACAGCGGTAAAATAGTGCCATGTTGCAAACTTACAGAAATACAACTATCCTGAGACCAAAAAATATAAGTGAGTGAGTGAGTGACGTGACATGTGGCCAAGTATGGTGACCCATACTCGGAATTAGTGCTCTGCATTTATCCCATCCAAAGTGCACACACACAGCAGTGAACACACACAAACCGTGAACACACACCCGGAGCAGTGGGCAGCCATTTATGCTGCGGCGCCCGGGGAGCAGTTGGGGGTTCGGTGCCTTGCTCAAGGGCACCTCAGTCGTGGTATTGAAGGTGGAAGAGAGCGCTGTACATTCACTTATGAGTCCGACTCTCTAACCATTAGGCCACGACTTCCCACAAGAGAGGATATGAGAGCATTTATTGGTTCTCGGGTGACATTGCTGCTGCACAAGGTCAAACATAGAGGCACACTGCCCTCAACTGGCGAACATTACATCCAGTCTCTATTGGAAATTAACTATTGTATGCAGTGACAAATTTTACCCTATAGAAATGGTTTTCAAGGGCATTTTTTAACTTTAAGGGCATATTTTATCTAACTGTATAAAAACACTGTATGTCTTCCATTTATATCAAAGACTGCATCTTAACTAAGATTAATCTGAACAAGAATGGTTCTTGTCTTGGTTTCAAATTTGGGTGTTGGGAGTGTTCATGTTTAGTGTTTTCAAGGCTGAATTTTAATTAAAAAAATCAACACCACTCACTTCTGAAACAGCAAATACAGAGCAAATTGACACTAAGGTGTCTGTGAAAGGACTAAACTCACAGAAAATTAATGAAATAATAAATACTGAAATACATACAATGTGAAAGAACAAATATTTCCTAGGTTTCATCATACCAGAATTCCAGCCAAAATTCCAGAATGAGAAAGTTCTGAATCTGATTACTGTCCTCACAAATATGCAAATAAAATGTGTAGTATGAAGGGTATAGAGATTAGGGCTGCACGATAAATCGAAATGGAATCGAGATCGCGAATTATCTGACAAACTCTACATTACCGTTCAAAAGTTCAGGGATTGGTAAGAGTATCTTAATGTTTTTGAAAGAAGGTTCTTATGTGATCAAACATACAGTAAACCTTTAATATTGTGAAATCCTATAAACATTCCAAATAACTATTTTCTATCTTAATATATATTTTAAAATGCAAATTATTGCTGTGATGGCAAAGCTGAATTTTCAGCAGCCATTATTCTAGTCTTCAGTCTCACATGATCCTTAAGAAATCATTCTAATATGCTGAATTGGGGTTCAATAAACATTTATTATGAAAACACTTGCGCTGCTTAACATTTTTGTTCAAAAGAACAGCATTTATTTTAAAAAGGAATCTTTTGTATCAAAGTAAAACTCTTCAGTGTCACTTTTGATCAGTTTATTGCATCTAATTTTAAAATCTTATGTTCCCCAAACTTTTGAATGGAAGTTTACATAATTTTAACATTCAGACTTCCTCACATATTTAGCGATTTTGTTTGGCTGTTAATTTCTACTAACTCTCACCTGTCTCTGGGCACATCCAGAGCTGTATTGTAATCAGGGGGTCCTCCAGGAAGCATATTGAACAGCAGGTGGTTCATGCCTTTGTCCCACCTAAAAACATATCAATAAACATATATAGCTTGAAACAGTCAGTTATGAATTGAAAAGAAAATAAATTAAGTGTGGAAATATGAGTTATATAAATAACAGTTCAGAAGAGTGCCAGAAGTGACACTGGACAAGTGCTAATGTAATAAAAAAAAATACATTGAGGACCCAGTAAAGCCGAAGTAGGCAAGGGTAATTTGCAAATACTCAAAGAAGTATCTACCTGGGCAGCATGGCCAGTGCTTGAGCAGTTTCACGAATCCGCAGAGAGTTCTGATTCAACACATCAATGGAGGGTATGAACAGACATGCTCTGGTCACATCATCAGTGTAAAAATCACTGTCCGATATGGTGCTCAGCAGGTCATTGTATTCTCGAGAGAGGCCAGTGCTGCTGATGGGCACCCCCACCTCATCCACAAATCGCTGAAGAGGATAGATATACACCTGTGTACAAACACACACACACACACCATTAATAGATCAAAACAGCCCTGTAATGACATCCAACCTAATAAATATAAATCAATAACACAATACTTTCTCTCTTTGCATCACCTTGATTTTATTCTTGGGATTATATCCACAGCGATACACATCAAAGCAAGTGTGCATTCGACAGCTCAGGTCACCCCTCTCAGGAATAGGGCTGCTCATAGGTATCCTGACCAATGGAGCATCATGCACACTACGACGGTCCAGACTCCATTCTGCGGAGGATTCAATGGAGTGAGGCCAGAACTGGAACATCCCCGTTGCAATCAACCCCAGTAAGACCACAGAGAAGAGGGTGATGTAGTAGATCCGGTGTTTAGTCTTCATACGGGGTATGAGTGCAGGGCCCCGGGAACCATACTTCACTGATGCACACATGATGAGCCTTTCCAGAGCCAAACCCACTGCAGAAGACACAAACAACACTGATGAACATCTGCACATGCACATGTCAGAGAATATCATCAAATAATTTAATAATAATTAATAACTGATTTAAGGACTATCACACAAATTTATGAATATAAGGTGACTAAGAATGGCCAGTTAGTCCTTTCTGATGTCACCCATCCATTGCGTAATGAATTTCAACTGCTTCCTTCTGGCTGGAGATTTAAACTCCCTTTGTGCAAATCAAACAGATACAAGAATTCCTTTGTACCTGCTGCAATCATGTTTTTAAATTACTTATTATAAATGTGTGTTTTTATGTGTGTAGTGTTGCAGCTGCTGTATGTGCATGTATACTGCTGTCTACATAAAGAATTGCCTTTTAAGGACAATAAAGTTAAGTAATAAAAAAAATACATATAATAGCTGTACATGATCTTTACCAATTCATTTACTATACTTTTGATTCTTTAAAATACAATTTGTTTATTATATGACTGATTGTTCTAATTCGAATTTACATGGCTAATGCATCTAATGACATTTAAGTTATCATATGATTTTTCATTGGAAAGCGGATTTATTATATTATTGATCCAATTAATCAAAACAAATTATGTTTGACTTATCTAATTCCAAATAATTTATACTTTGATCCATACTTTATTATATTAGTAATTGTTCTAATTCTAATTTATTATATGATTGTTAACTCTCGTTTGGATTTATTATATTATATCTAAATCCAATTAATTTATTAAATGATTAACGGGTGAGGTTGGAATTAATTTGTTTTATGACATGATAATTATTTAGAATTTGATGGATTAATCATATAATACATTTACTGAAATTAGACATGATTGTTTCATCTAATTCCAATTAATTTATTATATGATTGATTGTTCTAACTCTACCAAAGGTATAATGGATTCTATACTGAATAATTTTATTATTGGTACATTTAATTACAAAAAAATGTATTATATGATTGATTTATCTAATTCCAATTAATTTACTACACGATTGATACATCTAATCAGTGTTGCCAACTGCTTTCAATTGAAAGTAGCTAAAACTGGTAGCTAAATGTCACTAGATGACATCACAATGGCAAATTCACTGATCTATATAAAGATGAACGTAGATCAGTGGGCAAGATGAGAACTTAGATAAGGTTTGTCCAAGAAGTTGCTATATTTGTCCCTAAACTTTTGAAAAAAGTCTCAAAAGGGGCGGGGAAGTCGCTAAATCTAGCTACAAAGTAGCTAAATTGGCAACACTGCATCTAATCTATCATACAATTAACCCCTCAAACTCCAATTACTTTGTTTAGACCAATCCCTCTCGTTTCTTTATGACTTATATTTATTAATAAAAGTAGGCCATTTTAAATAAGCATTTTACTCAAAATATGTACTGTCTTGGGTTGTAAATAAATCCAAAACACACTCGCTAACGACAGCAGGTATGCTAGCAACTACAAAATAATTAACTAACCTTAACGGTGTCCAATTCTCTGCCTCGAATCTCAGCACGCCTCAACCATAATCTCAGTTGTTGCCCCAGTATGGTGTAAATGCTGAAAATGAATTTGTTGATTAAATTTTGTATATTATCCCACAACACATTCCTTTTGCTAAAGGGACAGCTGCCAGAAAAAAAATCGTCTCTCCTTCACGCGTAGTCCCATCCGTTTTTCTTGTAATTCGGGTCGCGTGGCGCCATCTGCTGTACAGGGAGAATGAATGTGAGGCATAGGCTGCGTCTTGAAACCTAGTAAGCCGCCTACCTAGACATCATTTTTGGGTGTCAATGCCACGTTCTGTATGTGTCTAGCTAGCTAGCTCACTAGTTATTTTAGCCACAGCCATAAACGACAGATCTCAATTCATCATTTCAGCCACCATTTTTTTCTTATGGCGTAAATAACTTTAAACGTTATTACTGTGCATTAGTTTGAGTATTAGAGCGATCTTTTCTTCATGCCTGGTGTTTTTAGGCAATAAAACAGTCTTCTGGATCCTGTTCTTCGACCGTGGTTTAACAAAACCCGGATTAGTTCACATATCCCGGATTGACCTAGCTCGATCTGAAATTGAGTTTTTTCGGCTCTTCTAACACATATCTCGGATTTATGTATCTAGCTAATAAAGACAGCTGACCGTTCATCTGAGGATTTATAAATTTGTCTAGACTCCTAATCTATCATGGCTAAACAGCGTGCTGCATTTTTCAGTGCTGCTGAATTGCAACTTATAATGGAAGGATATGAGGAAGTTAAACATTTAATAAAAACCAAAGGGAACACTATAGCGGCTGCAAAAGTCCGTCAGGGTGCGTGGCGAAAAATAACTGCCAAATTAAATGCGTAGGTATATCTTACATTTAATTAGTCTGGGAGAGCACTAATTAAGCAGTTTTTATGCAGGATATATATGACACACCTGTGCTGGCCACCTTCTTATTCTGCTGTTGGTCACGCTTACAATTACAGATCCAACCCTATGGGAACCTAGAAGAACGTGGCAACAAGTGAAGACGAAATACAAGAACATCGTTCAAAGTGGTAGGTCATGGGGTTTTTGTGTGGGTTTGATGCCCATTGTTCTCTCTCGCTCTGTCTGTCTCTGTTAGGGACTACACAATATATTTTTTACATACTTTTAATTAGTAATGTCAGCTATATAATCCATAAGTATAAATGTCTAACTATGAAGATAAACACAAAGGTATGTATAGCGCTTTTCACAATAAATATTTTAACCACACAGCGTTAGAACGAATAAAAATGCCCTTTAAAAGACCAAATGGGTTGCAAGCTGTAGGTGACAGAGGCTTGGTGAAACCTTTTTAAAGGTTACAACACAAATAGCCTACAAACTAATCTTGACAGAATATGTGCAGTGCTTTACCCCACATCAGATGTTTTATTTAATTTTTTTTTGTAATTATCATACGTCTAAAATACAAACTATTCTTGAAAGCATATACCTTCTTATTCTGCTGTTGGTCACGCTTACAATTACAGATCCAGCCCTATGGGACCTAGAAGAACGTGGCAACAAGTGAAGACGAAATACAAGAACATCGTTCAAAGTGGTAGGTCATGGGGTTTTTGTGTGGGTTTGATGCCCATTGTTCTCTCTCGCTCTGTCTGTCTCTGTTAGGGACTACACAATATATTTTTTACATACTTTTAATTAGTAATGTCAGCTATATAATCCATAAGTATAAATGTCTAACTATGAAGATAAACACAAAGGTATGTATAGCGCTTTTCACAATAAATATTTTAACCACACAGCGTTAGAACGAATAAAAATGCCCTTTAAAAGACCAAATGGGTTGCAAGCTGTAGGTGACAGAGGCTTGGTGAAACCTTTTTAAAGGTTACAACACAAATAGCCTACAAACTAATCTTGACAGAATATGTGCAGTGCTTTACCCCACATCAGATGTTTTATTTAATTTTTTTTTGTAATTATCATACGTCTAAAATACAAACTATTCTTGAAAGCATATACAATGCAACACGTTTCCCTGAAACAGATTTGTTTGTTGTTGTTGTTATTATAAAGAGTCAAAGTGTAATCAAACCTTTTTCCGTTGTACACCTTTTTTTTTTCTGAGATTTTCCTCAGACCCTTAGCACCCCCTTGTTTGAAACCCCCTGTTCTATATGTAAAAACTCAGAATTAGTTTTTAGTGTTTTGAATTGAATAACTTCTGGGTTTAACACAATTTAGCTAACAAGAGAAAGGCTGCGCTGAAGAAGATGAGACTAGTCCCAACAAAAGAGGAGCACATAGATGAAGAGGAGCTGCCCCCTGAGAACAATGTGGACAGTCCTATCATAGCGAGCATAGGTGGTGGCTGCTCGTCTGATCCAGGAGATCCAGCTGGCTGCAGCAGTTATGTCACAGCTGTGTGCACCACATTCTTTATTTGTCTCTACAAATCGATACTGCAGTAAATATACATAATTCATATCACATAATTTCAGTGACTGAACATGGACTGGCCCTACTTCAGCCACCTGTATTATCAGATGAAGAACTGGACTCTGTAAGTTTACAGCTCTGTTTATTTTAATTTTTAATGGGATATCAATGATCATAGTATTAAATAAATATAGTATTTAATACACTAAATGCTTAGAAATAATATGTACAAATTACTTAATTTTTAAATTGTATTAATATTTAAAATAGTATGTGGATGGGCACAACAGTACTATTTGGTGATATGAAATGCAGGAAGATGTTTTAATGCTTTCTTTTTAAAGGAACCTGTGGAAGATGTTAAGACACTATACAAGAAGTATCTCCAAGTAGAGATCTCCAACAGAAAGCAAGAAATGGCATACAGAGCTTTAAAAATGCGCAAAGTGAAGAAGGAAATTCAGTTATTGGACTGGAAATTGGATGCAAGTATGATATTTTGATAATTAACTGTCAGAATAAAGGAAAAGTGTACCTTTCAGACCCAGTAAAATCTGTTTTCAGACATTTTAATTTGTGTTTCCGTAGTTCAGTTGGGAAAACATGAATACAATGAAAGAGAAATTATGGTTTTCTATGTTAATTTCTGAAATTTTAAAATGAGTAAATGGTCAAAAATACAGCGACATGTATAATTAAAATTCAACAGAGAACTGTCTGACACTCAAGTGACTAGATAGATGGATAGATTTTTCATTTGAAAGTGGGCTGAATAGGTGCACTTGTCTAAATATTTATTAGGATAATTTGTGTCTGGAACTATAGTAAGTGGAAATGTGCCTTTTTTTCTTACTGCAGGCTGATCCTTCATGTTGAAAATAAACTTTTTTTTTTTTTTATATAAACCTACTGTGTTCCTTTCAATATTTACAAGTCACAGCAGTTATGTGCAGCAAGATCACTTATAAACTGTGTATGGGGTGCTTGGCATGGAGCAAGGTATGGGGTCATGAGAAAAGTCTGACACATGTAACCTCTGTCACCAGACACAATCATAATGGTACAATCATAACCTTACTGAAATCGCTGACTCAATGAATATTATGGAGTTGACCCTAGCTATTTGATTTCAATATTGACAGGAATATCAACAAGTTTGTGGACTGTCATATTTACATAATATGTTGCTGTGATTATCAAACCTGGTCCCCCATTTCTGATAGATCTGATTCAGCTACTTACCTCCTAAGTAGAGTGTTGCATGATATAAATTGGCTATGCCAAAAGAATGCAGAAAGATCTTAAGATTCCAAGAATGACATCCAGTGTTGGTTGTGTCCAGTGTGAGTGATAAAATCTACCTCCAGTCTACCATTAAAAGCAACTAACAAATAGCTTAATATAGTTCATAAACGAATATGTTATGTACAATTTAAACATTTTAGAAACGGCACAAACAATGCTTGCAAAGCAAAATTAAACCGGCAGTTTGCATTCAGAAAATAATTACACTTAGTCAAGGAAATGAAATTCAGTAAACATGATGTTGCTGACAAGTGGTTAATGGATGATTAACACTTGAAAAAATCAAATTCATTCTGGCTGCAAATCTAATGACAAGCTTGTCAGACATGATAAAACATGACTGTCAAACTCGAGGAGAACTATTGATCTTCCATACAGATTTCATTCAGGAATCAGTGATTTGTCCAACAATTCCTGCATTATTTTATAGAACAACAGATAAGGATGAAACCGTCATTTAGGCTTCTTAACCTGCTTACCTGTGTCTCTTTAAGTCCCATGAGTCTTGAGAACCAATGCACTGCCCAGGATATTTATCGTGTACAGCCTGAGGCAGGGTAAGCAGCTTCTAATGCCTTTTTGCTATTCATACCTTTTCTTTGAACTGTAAACCACTTTCATATTAGGTTGGTTTTAAAATCTGGCATCCTAGATAATATTTTCATTTTTAATATGCAAATATTTATGCACCCTATTTATGATACGAGTTACACTTGAATCATAAATCTCCCAAAAATTAAAACAGTCTAGTGTATTGACACTCTTTAAAGCCATAATTGGTTTATGTAGTATTTAGTATGTGCTACAAAATTAAAGCTTTTATCTAGGATGTTTAGATTTGCTATTGGAATAGCCAGATTCAACCCATGATGGAAAACACAATAATAATAATAAGCACTGCAGATGCTCTTTTTTTTATATCATTCAGTGTCATGTGTACAATAGATACAACACAAATACAGCACAGTTTTGCTAAAATCACATAAAATATTCATGGTTGCAACTCACAAAACAATACTTAAAGCTTTTATCTAGGATGTTTAGATTTGCTATTGGAATAGCCAGATTCCCATGATGGAAAACACAATAATAATAATAATAAGCACTGCAGATGCTCTTTTTTTTTATATCATTCAGTGTCATGTGTACAATATATACAACACAAATACAGCACAGTTTTGCTAAAATCACATAAAATATTCACGGTTGCTCACAACTCACAAAACATTACTTTAGAAGCTGCTGGCCTCTCGGATTATATACAGAAACACAAGCACACACACACACACACACACAAACCAATTTTCCCTGTTTAACAGACACACACTCCCATTCACACAGTGTTTTATTTTAATCATGGCTCTGGAGCAGTGGTGAACAATGTACTGTAAATAAAAGGTAAAACATATTGGTACAAATCTGGTCTTTTTGTCATCTATAAATATTCAACCAAATATCAGTGCAAGGTGTCCTCCATTGACCTTAAAGGACTGCCATAGATGCCACCCTTAATTTACGAATGACTCTTACTTTTGTTTTTCACAAGTACCTCAAAGTCCCAGCTGTGAAGTACGATACATTTTTGGCAATTCTCAGATATTCCAGCATCACAACATAGAAATGGCAAATATATAAGTGTTTTCTTCTTTTTCTTATTTAAAAATTTCTTCCATGCCATGCCATGTTTTTCCTCCTCAAAATGTCCTTAATGTACAGCATGTTAAGATTACTGGATTCCCCTAAACAAACACATAGCAAACACCATGGCAAAAAGCTGATGGGAGAGAAAGAAAAACAAATAAAGTTTAGCAAAGAGTTCAATGCAAATACTATTTTAAAACTACTTCTTTACTACATTGAGCTTGGGAAAGGCGCTATATAAATTAAATATATTATTATTGTTATTATTATTATTATTACATTCATTTGAACAGAATTGTGAGAAGCCCATTTCATGGTAAAGCAATTTCTCTCTCCACTAGGTGGCATTCACAACCCATAGTTCTTGAAAAACAATTTGTCATCACATAATAAGTGTAAAATCATCACATCATACTTTCTTATTAAAAAGCAAAATCATAACCTTACTTCAATAGTCAGCACCACAATAGCAAGGGCTCCAGCCATGTAGATGTATGTCTCAAAATAGTCCACCACTGCTGAATAACAGCCCTGTTTCAAAGAAGTACAGATTTTAATACGAGAGAACAAAATAATGTTGCTTCAGTGGATACTGAATTTCTCATTTATTACTAACTACTCATAGTGACGCCATTCTAAATTGGTTATAACCTGTGTGTATGTGTGTGTGTGTGTGTGTGTATGTATATAACATATATTAATAGAAAAGTATATGTGACTCAGAATATGAATCATTCGTTTTGAGAGTTATTACATAGACAGGGTCATATACCACACTGTTCTTTCTCCAAAAAACAACATATTTACTTTCTTTTATTTTGGTTTTCATCCTTTTTCTTAATGCATTTCTTGTTGCATATTCATTCCCACTCATTTACTAATTTGTACTAAACTCATTGCTGACCTTGTTACGGATTGGCATAATTCCCTTGAGACACTCCTCCTTGCTCAGCATCAGATGGTTCCTCTGGCAACAAACCTCTGGCACTAGTCTGCTGGGGTTCAGCCGTCTGAAGAGGCTCTGATCATCGAAGTCTTCAGCGCTGTTCACCCCACAGCAATCAAACTATGAAGACACCAATACACAGTTTAATGTATTTAAAGGCATTATTGTGCTATATTTTGTACAGTATGTTATCGTACTGTGGTCATAATGGCGTTCCATGTGGAGGTGAAGACATCAGTGCTATTGGTGCCTTGGTAATGTACTTTCAGCTCCTTGGTGAAGTAATCTCTGGTGAGCTGTTGATCCACAGATAGACAGTAGTAGTGAGAGCAGTGATATATTACAGGTGGCTTAATGATATCCAGCTATAATAATACTCACATGCTCCCGGAAAATGAATGCCAGAATGGCCACCGCCAGCTCTGCCAGAAATATGATGAGTATGAGCATGAAGAACTGTGGAAGAAAAACAGGATATTTGCATCTAAATCAGATGTGAAGTAGTTTAGATGTCTAAATATGAATAGGAATTCACAATATTAATATAATTCTGATACTGAGAAGCCAATTATTATGATGCTATAGCCTATTTTAAAATGTATATTATTCTGTTTAAATTAATAATTTTAAAAAAGCATTACGATATATTTGCATCTGAATCAGATGTGAAGTACTTCAGATGCCTAAATATGCAACAAATAAGTATATTAAGTGTTACACACATTGCTTTTTGATGCTAAATAGGGATGCACAATATTAATATAATTCTGGCAATTGGTTTGAAAATATATATTATTTTGTTTAAAAAATAAAAGTAAAACCCTAAATTTAAAAAAAAACTTTAAAATAAATATTTGAAATGCTTCAAGTGAATTTAGGTGTAACAACGTTATAACCCACAGTATAAAAATTGACATTTATTTTGATATTTGCTAAAGATTACATTTAGTGTTATTAAATTATTAGAATTATTATTAGTATTTAAAGACTGATTTTAAGTGAGCATTAGATGACAGCAAAGGTAATCTAAATTGTACAAATGGGGGAAATTAGCATTTACAATAAATATCCAATATTGACAGATACCAATAAATTATATATCTAGTAAGAAAGAAAATCCCATACAAACAGTAGAAGGCATTTATTTTCTCGTATGGCTCCGCAGCAGCCCAGAAATCCCAGTAGGAACAGCATCCCGCCCATGATCAAAATTGTATAGACTCCTGTAAACAGGAGAGGGTTGGCTGCCACAATCTCCCGGAAACCTGTCGGATCCACCAGCACCCAGATTCCCACCCCAAGAAGGAATGCACCTCCAAGCTAAAGGAGGAGAAAATGGCTTAGTATAGATCCCAGCAAGTATTTTAAAAAAAAGTGATTTTATGATATAGCAATATTGAGATTATCAAATAATGATTGATGCTCAGTTTTCTATGAAACAGCACATTTTCCCACAGCACTAGTGTGGCAGAGGGAAATTCATGATACTGCTAAAAAAAAAAACGAAGGCACATTGGCGCAAGATCAGTGTGTTTATTTCATACCGTTATGTTAACATTTTTTCAAAGTGGCGACATGGATCATTCAGACTCTTTTCAACTACACGTTTTGTTAGGAAAGCAAGAGTCTGCACCTGCATCTCATCAGGTTTTCAATCTAATAAAGAAACCAGATTCTTTCCACACTTCCAACCAAAGCAAATCATCACTCCCAGTCAGTCTGAAACAAACACAACTAGCATGATGCCACAGTCAAGTTCAGATCTTATCAGCCTACGGTATGTAAAACAATGGTCTACGCTTTTAAAAATAAATGTTCTTTAACTGCATCAATGGTTCCATGAAGAACCTTTCAAGAACATTCACCTTTTCATTCTTTATTGTGGAAGAAGCTCTTTGAATTATTAAAATATTCTACACACTGTTGAATGAAAACAGCACTAGTGTGGCAGAGGGAAATTCATGATACTGCTAAAAAAAACACCTTTGAGAA